CTTACAGAAACTGTGTTGTATCTTTTTCCTTTGTCAATGTTTTTAATTAATAGTGTTAAAAACAGCAAATTTATTATTTCTATAATATTATGCCAGGGGAATAACTTGCAACAGGAAAACCTTCACTACAGGCTGGACTCATCACTGGCCAAAGATCTGCTGCCCAAGTAACAACACAAGAGGAGAGGACTTTGCTGTTCTCAACTGTCCTTGACAGAGGTACCACCCTAGGAAGTGCTCTGCCCCAGGGATGGGATTCTACCAGTTTGCACCTATTCGGTAGAACTGGTTGTTAACATTCTAAGTAGTTCAGAGAACCAGTTGTTAGAAGAAATTACTGGCCTAATCCTGTAAGGAAGGCAGGAAGGAAACATTCTGGTGTTGCTTACAGAAGCTGCCTCTCTGTTAACCCTTATTACATTCTTGACAGGACTAGACTTCCTGTCTCAGGAAATTCTCTGGAGTTTTTTATCCCTCCTTTGCTGGTACTTTGCTTGTGTGGAGTGACCATTCAAAGTTAAAAAGTGACTTATGACCATTTTTCACACTTACGACTGTTGCAGCATCTCCACAGTCATGAGAGGATAGGCAAGGAGGTGCATGCCTCGATATGGGTAATATTGAGTTGGCCACGCCCAGCCAATAACATGACCACCAAACCACGCCCACCAACAGCCATGCCCATAGAACTGGTTGTTAAAAAAATATTGAATCCCACCCCTGCTCTGCTCCTACAGCTGAAGGCCTGCCTATGTACTGCATTGGGCAAGTTATAAATGTTGTGTGCAAACTGTTCTTACATGCGGCATTCAGGTTCACCTGGACCCATGGTCAACCTTACACCAGCAATTTGTGGTATCTCTAGCCAGTCCTCAACTTTGGAGAGTCATTTTAGAACATCTTAAGAAGGAGCTCCCAATAGCAAACAGTCAATTAGGCCATTATATCCAGTGTCTACAATACAGATCTTGGAAATCCTTGACTAATTCATGTGGGGGCAAGGTAGGCTTTGCTTCTATTATGAGCTGTGGTGGTGCAGTGATTAGAATACAGTTATCATGCCCCTGTTGGAGACTGACTCCAAGGGAGAGGAGGAACAGCCGACAGGGAGTGGAAGTGTGGCTCCGGAGGTTGTGGGGGAGGCTGGGGAAGGGCAGAGGCTGGCTGGGCAGTCAGAGGAAGATCCAGGCCCATCCCCTCTTCATCCTAGGGCATGCAGGGAGGAACAGAGAAGGGAACAACATGGCTTATGGGAGAGGAAGTGGCCATGATCCCTCTCGCTGGCTGCAGCTGGTGGGAATAGTATATAGGAGTGATGTTTAAAACACAGGGTTGCTTTTTTATCTTCTTGAAGTTTGTAATTAATTATCCTGGTCTGTCATGAAAATTCCTTCAGTGTGGTTTGTTTGTTTGTTTTTATTTCTCCATTATCTGTTCTTTGAGTTCGGACTGTAATTCTTTCTTTTGGAGACTTTTTTGGAAACAATCTCCAACTATGAACAATTGAACAGTTGGAGGCATTAAGGGAAATATATTTACGTTTGGGAATTTATTGTGTGTGTGCTGCTTCCTGGGTCATCGCAGCAGTATTGCAGGCAAACTCTGTCCACAGTCAGGAGTTCAATCCTGATGTGGCTCAAAGTTGACTCAGCCTTCTATCCTCTGAAGGTTGGGAAAATGAGGACCCAGATTGTTAGGGATAATATGCTGACATTTGTAAACTGCTCAGAGAGTGCTATAAAGCACTATGGAACGGCATATGAGTATAAGTGCTATTACTTCTGCTATTACTATTAAATGTAAATTTTCCCACTAAAGTATTCACATATAATTTGTGATTCCCATAGAGACCTATTGTTTAAGGCTCATGATCCATTTGTCATTAACTGAACATTTTTATCTTTCAAGAAAGACAAGAAAAAAGGTCAAGCCAATGAAACAAAATAAATCATGTAACCATTTGGCACTTTGAAACTGTCATTCTTTTCAGGCATACTCACCTATATATAGTAATAGAGATGGGGCAGGAATACATTGAGTTCATTATAAACTCAGTGGGAGCCTCACTTGGACCTTTCCAATGAATAATTTATTACAAAAAACACCTATTAAAATGTTATTCCTGGGGCTTCTGACATTTCCTGCATCAACTTTCAGTTTCCAACAATCCTTGCAGTCCATGAAGAGTTTTGCCCATTTTCTGCTCCAAAGAACACTGAGAGTAAAAAAGCTTCAACTGCATTTTTTTTTTACTGCAGTTCGTTCCTTTGATCGAGTGCTGGTTTTTGTCCTATCTCCAGTGCACACATGGAAGCAGCAAGCGGCAATCCAGAAATTCAGCCCCAAGAAAGGTTTCCCCCCACCTCTCTCAGTGTGAATTCAAACCAAAACAAGGGGTAAAAGGTGACATGGGTATATGAGCACAAAGGCATACCGATTTTCTCATACACCACTGGGGCCCTTCAGAAGCACATTGAGAAAATCATGTTTCTCAGTTGTAACTTTAATCAGGGGCGGGCGGGGGGGGAATCCCACAGGCAAAAGTTGCAGCAAAGTAAAGAAACATAGCAGATTGCTTCATCAGCGTGGATATGTGGAAAGACTATGAAACTGGAATAGAATAGTATTTCTTGGAATTACAGTAGAACTGGGGAATTAGAGGCACATCCTTACAGGCCTCTGTAAAAACTTGGAAGCTATTGTTCAATAATGTTGCTGCACAAACATTATTAGTTTTGAATGTCAACTGTAGGACTTTTCAACAATATGTAATCAAAAATGTTTTTCACTCACTGTTTTAAGAAATATTTTATCAAACCGAAAAAGAAAAGATGGCTTGAGAAGCTGCCAGATGTCTTCAATTCCAAGAGTTGGCAGGCTTATGAAACCCAGACCTGGGATCTCCTGGGATGCTGGTGACTTGAATAATCTAGCACTGGTGTTTTGAAGCAACATACTATCTTGCCTTCAGAATAATCAAGGATATGAATTATCAAGTAGTTTGGGAAAAGGAGTGGGGAGACTTGTCAAATGATTCATATTTGCCAGATGGCAAAACTCCTTATAACGAGAACTGGGGGGTTGGATGAAAATGCTCAAACAAATTGGTCAATTCAATTAATCTCAACTAAACTGCAAGTAAGCTAGCATTACACTCAGTGGTGGGATTCAAAAATTTTTACTACTGGTTCTGTGGGCGTAGCTTGGTGGACTTGGCTTGGTGGGCCTGGCAGGGGAAGGATACTGCAAAATCCTCATTCCCTCCCCACCCCACTAACCTGCTTTCCAGTTCTCCTGTGAAGGGCAACAAAAGAAGACCCAGCTGATCAGCTGGGACTTAGGAGGCAGAGAATAGATGGGGGCGGGGCCAGAGGTGGTATTTGCCAGTTCTCCGAACTACTCAAGATTTCCACTACCGATTCTCCAGAACTGATCAAAACCTGCTGAATACCACCTCTGATTACACTTCCAAACGTACCATCTGAACTTGGTGTTGCAGTAGCCAAAACCATTTCAATACTTTGACTACACTCCACATTCATTTTGTTCTTTATGTTTTCTGGGAAGATGTGAAGAATCCACATATTCTCTCACTGTTGCTTAAAAATGCCTCACTAACTTTCTTTAAGGATATGCCTTCTTCTCCAACCAGCTGAGGCCAGCTAATTTCATGCTGAACTAATCAAATCTTTAAGTAGTGTTTACCATCTCCTCCAGATGCAAGCCCACAATATGTAGGAATTAGGATCCTTCAGTGGCAACCGTAGTCATGATGTGGCAGGGTTGGGATCGGTTCAGTTGAGATTGGCTATTTTTTAGCTTCTATGGCCATCTAAAATCACTAGAGTTACTTTTGACTTGGTTACCAGGATTGATCAGCTATTGGTCACCTTTCCATGCAATGTCTAATCAGTGTTTATGCTGGTTTCTATAAGTCTAGTAGTCTTGTGCAAAACTGATAAACATGGGAAATAAATGCCATGAGTGAGACAATTTGCACTCATTATGAATCTACCCAACAACACTTGATAATAGATACCCCTGCTTAGGGAGCAAGAGAGAAAGTGACAGCAAGTATGTAGGGGGAGGGAAGAAGACCGCAAGACCAAACAGGGGGACTTTTGAAGTTTTCTAAGCAATCTGAACTTGGCAAGGGACCAAGTTCAGGGCTAGGTCATTTATTTATAAAAAGGAAAAAAAATACTAATTTAGATTTATTTTTCTGAATTTGAAGCTTTAGGGGGTGTTGAGAGGAGGAATGCCAAATGCCATATGCAGAGGAATGAAGAGCATGGAGAGCAACTCTTTGTCAGTGCTTAATCCTTTCTACTTCTGGTCTTCATCCAAAACAAGCTACCATTTCTTTCCTGTCTTTCCAGGCCTTCTGCTTAGGGGAAAAAAAAGTTCTCTTCCCATTAAGCTCAACACTTGGTGCCTACCCTAATATGTTTTTGCACTTTTCTTCCTCCCTTTCTTTAATTGTTCCTTAATGCTTTTTGTTCCAGTCCATTGATTCACAGCAAGGTCTGTCTGTAATTTTGTCTTGAAATCAAGTTCCGTTTACTAGTGCAGTGGGTTGCTACTCTAACCTTATCAGAGTGCCTGGTTATAAAGAATAGACATAAATAATACTATCAGCAGGTTTTAAGCACAGTTCTTCCAAGTTCTCTCTTCTTTTATTATTAACCTATGTGTAACGAGAGGTTATAATAAACTTCATTGCTTTGTCTTATTGCTTTCTTTGTGATGTATGGGTACCTTCCTTAGCATGACCAAGTCTACAAGCAAAACTACAGAGAATCCTGATAACTCCTTGATCTCTAGGGCTTCCTGAACAGGCACAGTGAAGAAATTACAGTGTAAGAACCTTGAGAAAATGTATTTAACTTCTCCTTCTTTCATAAAATCATAATTGAAATAAATGAACTAAATACATTTTATTAAACTTCCTATTCATTAATTTATTCATTCATCCACAGAAACTAGTGCACAGAAACTATATAAAACAACTACATAGTGCACAGAAACAACTAACTTTCTGCAATTATTCAAAATGTGGTCATTTCTATTGGGCAAGAATTTCTAGGAGATGTATTTACAGATGTGTCCTACAACTTACAAGATGCAAAATCAGAGCTTTTGGACCAAGCTTGCCTTCCATTCTTCAATTATGACAAAGTTAGTTTTCTGGATTGTCCACTTTCAAGTAAAGATTGCATCAAACTTGGGCTAGGTTTCCAGGTTTCCAGGTTCTTCACTTCCATCTTTTCTCTCTCTAATTCTAGCTCTTTCTCTTTTACACGGAAAGGCACACTGTTGAGAGCGAGATGAGAAAAACACAGAGTAATTGCAGCCCAATAACCACAATCTTACTAGGTAGATTCAGCACTGAGGCAAACAGGATGTCTCTACATCAGCTTCAGTTAAATACATCAGTTAAATATATTTGTTCAGGGAAAACATAAATAAATGGCAAATAATTGGGGGAAAAACATTAGCAATTAGGTGCATTCACCATACTTTTAAAAGAATGCACAAACAATGTGCCCATAAAGAGAGACATGTGCCCATTACAGTACACAGACCTTTGCATCAGCCCATGAAGCCAGAGTGTCAAAAAAAAAAAGCCTGTGAACTAGTTTAATTTAAAATGCTGTATTTATGTGGATGGTTGCTTTTTATCCTTGTTGTTTCTAACCCACCTGCCAATTGTCTAACTTATTCTGTTGCTTTTTTCCATTAAAAAAACAACGCTGTTAGGTTCCCAGATTCACTTATTTGAGATGAGCAGCCATATGGATGGAACATTTTTTAAAAAAATAAATCAATTTCCCAATCAGTTCAGTTAAACTGCCAAAACCACATCTCAGCTTGACATTATATTGGCTCAAAGGAGGCTTTCCAATAGATGCAGCTAATTCCAAGGTGGGCAGCCTACCATCGTTGTCTAACTTTTCGCAAGCTGCAACACCCCCGTCCCTGAGTTGACAAGTAGGGAGGCTGCGGCTGCAGGTAACTTCCAATCCACTGAGGGGAAGGAACACGTCTTGAGGAAAATCGCTTTTGCATTAAGGTACAGTAGAAGGGCAAGCAGGTGGGAGAAGGCAAGGCAAGTGATAAACCAGTTTCAGCACTGTTCAGCTGATCAGCAATGAACCGAAGAGAAACGGATTTACTTTTTCTGCATCCCTTTCTGTTATTTTCCCCTTCCGCTCAGGTGTTCCTTGCTATCATATATTTTTCTGATTCAGATCATGGACTCAACAGAAAAGCCTGCTGGCATAACTTATGCTGCCAGTTCCCCAACTCCAACATCACCATCATCAGGCATAAATCATTTGCTAGCAGAACAATCACCTATTACTCTCCTTAATGGGCAGAGGGGGGGAAGTTTATAGTTGGAGTCAGAGAATGGCAACTGACTGGCACTAAGGGTGACTGTAGGTGGGAGGGGGATGATCCTATTCAACATAACTCCTCTTCCGTGCCTGTTATCTATCCAGCTATTTCTGAAAGTGCTGCAAACTTGAGTTTGCCAGAAACAGGTTATTGGACTCTTGGTAGCAGCCAAGGGCTGAGGAGGTGAAGGAGAAGAGATGATGATGATGATGATGATGATGATGATGATGATGATAATGTCACCTGTAGCAAAGAACTGGTGAGATCATAAGCCTGAAAAAGTGGTCAAAAATGAGCATGCAAAACTACTGTGGGATTTCCGAATACAGACTGATAAAGTTTTGGAACACAATACCCCGGATATCACGATTGTGGAGAAGAAAATAGTGTGGATCGTCAATATTGCCATACCTGGTGACAGCAGAATCGACAAGAAACAACTTGAAAAAATCACCAGATATCAGGACTTGAGAATCGAACTGCAGAGACTCTGGCATAAACCAATGCAGGTGGTTCCAGTGGTACTTGGCACACTGGGTGCTGTGCCTAAAGACCTAGGCAAGCACTTAAAAACAATTGGCGCTGACAAGATCACCATTGGTCAGCTGCAGAAGGTCACCTTACTAGGATCTGCTCGCATAATCTGCTGATACATCACACAGTCCTAAATGCTTGGGAAGTGTTCGACTAGTGATTTCTGATACGAAACCCAGCATAGTTATCTCGTTTGCTGTGTCCATTGTTGTTTTTTGTGTCAATAATGATAATAATGATAAATGATAAATGATATTGGTAATAAGTCAGCTCCGGGCAAGCTTACTACAATACTGCAAAGGCACAGCAATGCTTGGAGTGAGTAACAACCAGTCCAATTCTGACCAAGTGACTGTCAGTAACCACGGAACACACACTGTAGCAATCTTCCAGAATTGCAAAATAGTGATTGCAGTGACTCATACTGACTCATAAAAATCACCATCAGCTAGGGTGCAAATCGAAAAATAGTACCTGGCCAAAGGGTATTTTCAGAGTATGGTCCAAAAAGATGGCCAGTTGGTGAAGTGCTGAAGGTGCTGGCTAGAAAACAAGAAACTTGAATTCCAGTCTCATTTCAGCCATGAAAGCCAGTCACTTTGGGCCAGTCACTCTCTCAGTACAACCCAACTTACAGAAATGACTTCAAGGGAGGAAGAGCTGCTACGAAGGCAACAATCAGTTAAGAAGGACTTGAGCCTGACTTGAGCCAACTAATTTGAGAAAACATCTTCCATAAGCCCCCACCTTAGCTCACACAAAGAAAAAGGGTGGGAGGGGGAACCACATTCAGATTTGCAATATTCTGTTCCTATAGCTTTACAATAAACCATAGTCCTAATCTACATGGCTTTGATTTCTTAGTCTGGTCTACTTTGTATAGAGCTATAGAAAATACTGTTTTGGAGAAGCCAAGTGTCCCATCCATCCACCAGTCAAAAATGGCTACAGAGGGCAGTGCCCCATGGCTAGAGAGGCAGGGCAGGGGCTAGGTTCACAACAGCCTGAAGGGCTAACGTGATCAGCAATCCAATTGTCAGCAAAATATGTCAAGTTAAGTAGAGAAACACTTTTAGTGGGAAAATGCTATTTATGTTTTTAGCTGTCCCACAGAGGTGCTGGAGATGCCCGGATGAAGGCAATATCAGTAGAAGAAGGCAGGAATTGTTACCTGGCATGTTGATGTGATTGGGGCAAACAAGAAAGACCTTTAAAATTATCACCCCTCCTAGATATAAGTCCCCCAAACTATTTTCCCAAACTAATTAGCAGTAGGAGGGGCTGCTGCTACTGTTAGGACCAAAAATCAACATAATTTAGAAGGCTGGGTTTTTATTTAGATATAGAGGGAGATAACCAACTCTGTTGCCCTCTAGTGGCATGATGGAAGAATAAGAATATAGTAAGGCTTAACTTGGAATAAATCATTTTTAAAAATTCTTACTGCCCAATTTAAATCTGATTAGGCTAGTTCTTTCCATCAATAATCCCTAAATGTACCTAAATACTTTACATTGCCTAGAAAAGTGCTTATGCCAGTTTTGATATTTTTGAAGAATGTGGCTTTACAAAAAATGGCATTATATTCTGTGTATCTGACCATAGTAATAAAATAAATTTTATTTTATTTTATTTTAGTTGTTTATTTTATTTACATATAAATACCTGTACATGCTTAGTAAAGAAACTTCAGAGAAACCTTAAAGTAAAGAAACCTCATTATATTAACTTTATGAGAAAATTACATGGGGAGGATCATACTTTCAGAGTACTAACATTAGTAATATTTGCCATTGTTCTGTGGATTTTTTTATCTTCTGATCCTGTCAAGGTTATAACTACAAACAGTACTCAGAAAACAATTCTGTAACATTTTACATACAGACTACAGTGTTGCTGAATTGAGTCCAATGGAATGTACTTCTGAGTAGACCTGTGTAGAGCTGTGAGATATAATACAGTTTTGCTAGGCAGAAATCAATTGTTGCTTTCAGTTTCATAGATTGAAGCACTTGTGGAAATAAATTAGATAATCTTAAAGGAATCCTGTTGGATCTGGACTGCTGAAATATGGATTACCACTGAACCGTAGCAAATAGTCAAAGGTTTTGTCTGTTTTGCTGCCAACTAGTGGTCATCTAAAAGATAGACAAAACCTTTGACCATTTGCTACCATCCATTTTAGAGCCGGAAACTACTAGCATGTATGTGCAAGGGAAACCTTTATCTTTACCTTTTAGTGGTCATCTGTATTTTTTAGCTTTGATGTTATACTACTATGGTATTATATTTTGTGTGTGTGTATGTGTGTGTGCGTGTGTGTGTGTGTCTAGGCCTGTGTGTACTGACAAATTGTGTGCATATGCAATTCAGGTTTAATCTCCAGTAACATTAATCTTTTTCAATAGAGTCAAAGTAATATTTTGTTTATAAATAAAATATGAAAATAAGAAATTGATTATTAATTATGTGCAAGCTTTTTTGCACAGAAGAACATTTTGTAATGTTGCTATTATTAGTAGCCAAGATTATAGCACTAGAGAGGGAAAAGTTAGAATTTTTGGTTCTCTTATAAACTAAATAAACTGAACTAAACTTACAAACTAAAACATGTATGGTTAATCTTACAGATGTGCCTTGTTGTAGGCTTAATACACATACAGCCAGCAGCATGATTTTCAGTGGGATGACCTTGGGCCCCTCATATGGTTCCTGTATGTCATGTGTTCCTTCACATGAAGATAAAAATCAGCCTTCGTGCTGGGATTAAGATGCTCTCTTGTCTCTTTTTATCATGGGCTGATGATGGTAACGATATAAGTGAAGTAGACTATACCATGAGCTGTGTGCAATTGGACAACCTCAACAATTGGGAATGGTAGCCTATGAAAATTCAGCTATAAACGCATAGATGTCAAGTGATTTCTATCAGTCTGAATAACACTCATCCTGTAAACCTCTCTATCTTACCATATGCAGATTTTACATAGAAGCACAAATGGTTATTATTATTTTTTTGGGGGGGAAAGAACAGTACTTAGGAGTTCGGTATGCCTACAAGTAGTCCCCATTTTGCAAAATTAATTGGGGCCAGAAACTCCATAATTAAGTGATTGTGCTTGTAAGTTGAAAAACCGGGTGACTGCTCTGCTCAGCGATGGCAGTTCTGGTTGCCATCACTAAATAAGAACTGCAGGGGTCCTTAAGGGAAGAGCTCATATGACCATGATTCCCAGCCAGCTTCCTCACTGACTTTCTTTGTGGGAAGTTGGCAAAGATGATCACAAATTGCAATCACGTTACCACAAGATACTGCAATAGCTATAAGTACACGGTTGGATTGTAACTACCACTGGTTTGGCGCTATGGTAAGTTAGAAACTGTGATTGAACGAATGGTCACTAAACAAGGGCCAACTATATTAAAAACAATGTGTATTCAGCCAGTTTTATATCTGGTAAATATTACAAGGTAATCCCACATTTGCCTTCTTCCTTTTGTACTTCTTTACTGTGAAAGAACTTCAAAGAAGGTACTCAAAGCAAGCTTAAAAATAGAAATGTTACTAAAGTTTTATAATGTATGTTGCTATATGTTAAATTTCAGTATATTGTAGAAAATGTACAAAATAATCTACTGTAACTAATAATACAGCAGATATCTTCTAGAAACAAGTAATACAAGTATAAACAATAAAAGTCTACAGAAGAAAATGTTGCTTAAGAGATGAGATACATACCTAGGAGTTACTGGCAAACTCTGGAGAGGGATAAAGGTATCTGACCTCTTTTTATAGCTAGAGCTATTAAAAAGAAACAAAAGATTTTGAGTAGAAAGATCTTTGAGTATTTAATTTAATTAAATTATGGTATATAATCAATACCTGCACTAGGAATGTTCACAATTTCCTAAGCAATCTACCATGGAACCCTGGCATTCAAAAATAAAATCCACATTTCATGCTAATTGAAGGAAAAGTAGGAGCTACTTTTTATATACATTGGCAGCAAGATGAAGTTTCCAGTTTGCTTCTAATGTTTGGGAAGCCTAGCATTTTCTATTTATAGTTATGCTTAAAGTTTTTGCTTTAGTTCCAGTGGAAAACCCATGCAGATGATTGCATAATATATGCAGCTGCATGATATTTCATATGTATATTCTTCCCAGTATATCACATTATGTGGAAGAGAGAATTGAGACACAGAAGAACCCAAATATTTCATTGTGTTGCAGAAATACCATTATGTAAAAATAATACTTCGATCTTTTGTCAAAGATCAGTCAAAGTGCTTGGGGAATATAACATGCAGACATTTGACTCATTAGAAATCTTACTAAAGCTCATCCAAAACTGTAAAATCTTTTCAACAATTTATAGCAATCTGAAGGTTAATCTGTATTCACATAGCAATAGCAATAGCATTTAGACTTATATTCACAGTGCTTTACAGCCGTCTCTAAGCAGTTTGCTGTCAGCACATGTTCCCAACAATCTGGTTCCTCATTTTACCGACCTCGGAAGGATGGAAGGCTGAGTCAACCATGAGCTTGGTGAGATTCGAACTGCCAAATTGCAGGCAGCCAGCAGTCAGCAGAAGTAGCCTGCAGTACTGCATTCTAACCACTGCACCACCGTAGCTCTTCATCACCTTTACCTATTATTGAAGAAAGAAAAAATCCTTGCAGATCTGATCTTTCATTCAGAATTAAGAAAAAATGTATCTTCCAAAAGTGATCATTTGACCTATTCAGCTTCTGCTATCACTGACCTTTACATATCTTTTGGAAGTATAAGTAGGGAACAATGCAGTGAGATACTCGAGATCCCCTCTTTGTCTATTACTCTGCCTCTGTCCTTTCTGTAAGAGATTACTAATCAGAGGTCAATTCCTTCTGATTTGGTCTCCAGGCACATTTGGACAGAATCCTTGCTCTTGGGTTTTCCTCCTGGGAGAAGGTTGTTAACTAAGTGCTAGGCTTTGCTTATCTCTATAAAGCACTTTGTATAAATAATCTTCTTATTGTTATAATTATAAAACCTGCTTGATAAATCCCTGCTCACATTCAATTCTGGCACTCTTGGGAATATTCACATGTACATAGAGAACCTCCAAAATGTCACAGATATGCTCCACATCAGTAGGAACACCCTTCGAGGATAGTAATGCCAGCTATTAATATATTTCACATAAAAGTAACAAAACTAGAAATAGTCACAACAAATATTTCACTGACACATACTTCAACATAGTGACTAAATTAGTAGACCAGTGAAATACTGTGGACATAATATACTTAGACTTCAGCAAAACATTTGACAAAGTCGACCACAAAGTAGACTACTTCTTAGTAAGCTAGTAAAAAGTGGGATAGATAGCATCACCATCAGATGGATTCATAACTGTCTGACAAACCATACTCAACAAGTAGTCCTTAATGAGTCTACGTCTACATGGAGGGAAGTAAGCAGTGGGGTACCACAAGGTTCTGTCTTAGGCCCAGTACTCTTCAATATCTTCAGATATGACTTAGGTGAGGGAATAGGAGGGGAACTTACCAAATTTGCGGATGCTACTAAGCTGATGGGAATAGCCAGTACCCTAGATGATAGACTCAAAATCCAGGTGGATCTTGACAGACTTGAACACTGGGCCCTAACTAACAGAATGAAATTCAATGTAGAGAAAAGTAAAGTCTTACCCTTTGGCAAGAAAAACCAAAAAAACACATATAGAGTGGGTGAAACCAGGCTTACTAGGGGTAACTGTGAGTGGGATATTAGAGTCTTAGTGGACAACCAGTTAAATATGAGTCAGAAATGTGTGGCGGCAGCCAAAAAAGCCAATGCAATTCTAAATTGCATTAACAGAGGGATACGATCGAGATCAAGTGAGGTACTAATACCACTTTATAAAGCCTTAGTAGGACCACACCTAGAATACTGCATCCAGTTTTGGTCACCATACTATAAAAAAGAGGTCGAGACTCTAGAAAAAGTGCAGAGAAGCACAACAAGGATGACTAGGGGACTGGAGACTAAAACATATGAAGAATGGTTATAGGAATTGGGCATGGCTAGTCTAGTGAAAAGAAGGACCAGGGGAGACATGATAGCAGTGTTCCAATATTTGAGGGGCTGCCACAGAAAGGAGGGGGTCAAGCTGTTTTCCAAGGCACCTAAAGACCAGACAAGGAATAATGTGTGGAAACTGATCAAGGAGAGATTCAACCTGGAAATGAGAAATTTTCTGACAGTGAGAACAATCAACCAATGGAACAGCTTGCCCTCAGAAGTTGTGGGAGCTTCATCACTGCAGACTTTTGAGAAGAGACTGGACTGCCATCTGTCAGAAATGGTGTAGGGTCTTCTTTTGGGGCAGGGGGGTTGGACTAGATGACAAACAGGGACCCTTCCAACTCTGTTAATCTGTTAACTCGCTGGGATTAATTGGAAGAATCCTATGTCACTTCCATTTTTATAGGCCTGCTTCTTTATCTGCCTCTTCCTCCTTGCAAAGACCTGCCCTCTGTTGTTTCCCTTCCTCCATAAGCAAAGGAAGTTAGTGACTTGGTTTTTTAAAAAGAAGCTATCAGACAAGAACTTGCCTCCCAAAATCAACTGGAGATACTGTTGATCCCTTTTTGTGGAAATCTGTACTTTGTTCAGGAGCAGCAAATGGATGGTCACCAAGTATCCTCATTGGGATGCCATTTCGGGAGGAAGTTTCATCTACTGGTATTAAAAACAAAAGTAGAAATTGAAGAAGGCAATTTGGCTGCAAGCATATTTTCTGACATTTGAACAATTTGGTTGTATTTATATTTAGCAAGCTGTTCTTTTACAAGTATATACCGTATGTATATATTATAACACATGAATTTAGTTGAAAATATATTTCTTCTTTTGGCTAAATAATAATGAAACATATGTCATCAATAATTTAGAATGAAGTTCATTAGCCTCATAGGTTTTTAATAACAGTTCGATGCTTGTTTGCAAAAACGAACTCAATCTTATTAGTCCAAAGGTTTGCATCAGTGGTTCTCAATAATCCATAACTTGTATCCTACCAATCACTTTTCACCACGGAAAACCTATATATCGATATTTGAAAACTTAAGGAGAAGCTTTCTGACATTGAGAACAATCAACCAATGGAACAGTTTGCCCTCAGAAGTTGTGGGAGTGTCATCACTTGAGACTTTCAAGAAGAGATTGGACTGCCATTTGTCAGAAATAGTGTAGGGTCTCCCACTTGGGTGGGGGGTTGGACTAGATGACCTACAAGGTCCCTTCCAACTCTGATTATTTGTTGTCTGTAATTCTAATGCTTGGAATTCTAAAAATAGAAGGTTTCTGAGGCTATACCATATTTCTTCCTCCCTATAGACTTTTCCAGTGTCCTCTCAGAAGATGTAGCTTTATTTCGGAGGTGGATACCATAAAACAAACATCTTTTCCCTATATGGTAAGTGTGATTGCCAGAGCTTGGGTAAAATGTCCATTCTTCAGCTAGGTTTTCATTTTTTCCTGAAAAAGAAGGTAATAAAAGCATGAGAAAGTCGGAGTCATAGAACTCCACCCAGTCTATTTTTACGCTATCAAGTAACATAGTAAAAAAAAAATTGAAACACTCTTTTTTTTAAACAATACAGAAATAGCGCACAGAGAAATCCCAAATTTTAATTATAGGATTTCCGTTCACCATTTTGTTTTCGGCATAATAAAGGGACGCATGAATATAAAGTGCTGAAGAGATCTATTATCCAAGCAAGGTGCTTTGAATGAGAAAGGGGAATGAACACAATCTCAGTCTGCAAATAATCTCAACTGCATCTTTTCTTGAATTTCATAGCTACCTGTCAGGTGATCCTGGGAAATAATGCGACTGGTTTTCAATAGCTGCAAGAGAGGCTACATTTGGGTCTCTACATACTTGAGAGCACTGCATAGCTCTAACATAGTGTGTCTTAAAGTATGGTCTTAGGGGTCTGTGAAACCAAAATTATTGGGCAAATATTGAAAATGCTTTCAAAAATTTAAAACAATGTTACTCACAGTGTTTTGTTTTGTTTTTAATTTAAATATAGTTTGTTTTCTATGAAAAATAGTTTATGTTAATATCTAATGGTTTGAGATTGTTATTTTTATATGATTCAATAAATGTTCTATGAATGAATTTTTAATGTGGCAAATATTGACGAATATAACCCATGCAAACAAAAGCCCTTGGGATCCTGCATAATTTTTAAAAGTGAGAAGCAAAATGTTTAAAGAATATTGCCCTAATGGCTGATGTGGGAGAAATGGACCACAACTAATTAGCTCATGCTTTGCCCAAAGAAACTTTCTGCTAGACTAGAGTGCCTTGAGAAGGTTGCCCCTTATGAAGCCCAATAAATATGTATCAACCCAAACAGAGGTGGTATTCAGCAGGTTCTGACCAGTTCTGGAGAACCAGTAGCAGGAATTGTGAGTAGTTAGGAGAACCAGCAAATACCACCTCTGACTGGCCCCGCCCCCATCTATTCTCTGCCTCCCAAGTCCCAGCTGATTGGCTGGGTCTTCTTTTGTTGCCCTGCACAGGCAAATTGGAAAGCAGGTTAGTGGGGTGGGGAGGGAATGGGGATTTTGTAGTATCCTTCCCCTGCCAGGCCCACCAAGCCATGCCCACCACACCACGCCCACCAAGCCGCACCCACAGAATGTTAGTAAAAAAAAATTAATCCCACCACTGGACCCAAATGATCTTGGCATTTGACAGAATATGGCAGTTGTTCAATGTTTTTTCAGCTGAGGAGCTATAATATTTTACATCCCTGGCTTTGAAGAGCTCAAGTGTTAGCTTGAATCTGAAACGCATGGCATTATGTTTCCTATTGTGATCCTCCTACTGACAGGGCAGTGACCATGAAGCTTTCTGCTACCAAGATTGGGAGGCCTATTGGAACCACCCTGTGTGCGGGCCTTCCTCTCTGCTGGCAGAGAAACACTTCTGTATTACTCTCTGACCCTTAGCCACCCTCCCATGGAGCATAAATCACTACCTTGGGGATTAATCAGACAGTTTTTGAGACAGAATGCTGTGGCTAGGCAAAATGTCACTTCCCTCTTACTCTGAGGGCACTGTTTTTGAAAACCATAAGCTGATATCAAAGAGCCTTCTGCCTCCCAGCCAGTTTCCAACTTGGCTCTCTTGCGAGCTCATAAAATCCCTCAAAAGGAAATCGGCTGAGGTTTAGTGTGGGAGGGCAGGGAGCTGAGAACACTCAAGGGCAAACGCACACACATAAATAAAATATTCTAATTGGAGAAGCACTGTTGTTTTTTAACCAACAGACCAGGGGTAGGATGCAAATATTTTTACTACTGGTTCTGTGGGCGTTGCTAAGTGGGAGTGGCTAGGCGGGAGTAGCCATGTGACTGGGTGGGTGTGGTTTCTTCTTCCGCTTCTTCTTTTGTGCAGCACCCCCTCTGAGCTCCATTTATTGGCCACCTGGGCCTCAGGGGAACTTCCTGGGAAGGGGGGATGTTTTTGCTCCCAGAATGCTTAGGAAAGCAAAAAATGGAGCATGGGGAGGCTGTGCAGCAGCACTATCACCATCCCCACCCGCCCCTTTTTGCCTCCTGGGCCTCGGGGAAGCCTCCTGGGCAAAGCAGTAAGACAGCGAGGGAGATTCTGGCACAGCTGATAGTCGGAACAGCTGACTGCCAGGAGGAAAAAAGAAAAAAAGAAATATCAGTTCAGCTGAACTGGTAGCAGTTCTTTTACTACCGGTTTGGCCAAACAATAGCATTTTTTTACTACCGGTTCGCTCAAATCGGTAGAATCTTACCACTGCAACAGACCACTTCCATTTCAATTGTAATAGCCCTGCCCTGTTGGGTTTGCACTGGGAGAACTAAGCACCAAATAATAAATATAGCCTTTTTTATATACAAGAGGAGGTTATGAAAATCTTGACATGTAAATAGAAGTGACTGAAAGAAAAATAGGAATGATCTGTAAACCTGTAGATATTTATTTCTACAGTTATATATCCAAATAATTCAAATTTGGGCAGTTTCCTCCTGAATCCTTCCCTTCTGTAAATCTCTATAAATTTCTGCTAAGCATATTATTATCTCTATCCTATTTCTCAACAGAGTTATTCGGGCTACAAAATAACAAATTCACCATTTCCACTTGCAGCTGCTATTAGTATATATAACTGGGGGGGGGGAATCATACTCAAACATATGAATAATAAATAACAATAAGACAAAAATAATCACACACTATTTCTTTCAGAGTGTTTCTGCAATTTTACTTACTTGGTGAGGAATCCTGTTGTTCGAACGTATCTATTTGGCATGCTTCATCTACAAAATATTGTTCTTGTGGAGGACTACCAGAAAGGTCAGGAAAGGTTGATAAAGTAGAATCTGAGTTCAAAAGAGCGCCAGGCCTGATTTAAAAAAAATCAGTCTTATTAATTACAAAAACAAATTAACATCTAATAAATATTTGTCCACCTGGCACATACGCTGAAATATGAAGTTCTCTGGAGGCTTGTCTTGGTGTCTCTAGATATTCTTCATTTTTATTTTTCAAGGATGGCAATGTGGTGTCTACAGTGGATTTTAAGGACGATTTGCTTGGCTCTGAAAGGTAATCAATGAAACAAGTGATTAACTTTATTTAGATATGCTGAGGATTTCTGGAGATGTGGCCAATTAATTAGAACAGCAACAACTCTGTCATGGAATATGAATTACCCATTGTAGAATCTCTTTACCATTACAGATCAGGATTCTTTTAACCGGGTGTGATTTCCTCATTACCAAAACTGATTGTGGATTTTAAAGTTCACATTTTTAAAATGTAATTCTTCGTTGCATACTAGATTATTTATGATGGGAGATGTCAAGCCCAAGCACCAAGAACAATACATAGAGTTACTTCCAAGTTGTTATTTACTGTTGTTCACCTACAGACAGAAATCTTGCCAGACTAAAGCAATTACCTGGATATATTCCGTGAACTGCTAGGGAGGAGCTGTCTTCCTGCCTACCAAACTTTCCAAGTTCTGCTGCCTCTTTACTTTCTGGCATGTAGCCCTTCCCTCCTGAGACTCTATAATTCTCCACAGGAGCCGTCACCACCTATAATCTCTCAAGGACTCTGGATTTTATTAACTGTGGGGGTTTTCTGTGTTATCTTGTTAAAGATAGGCAACTCTGTTCTATTACTGTTCCTATAACTACAGGATAGTCTCGAAAAGTGATGTTGTGTCTCTCATGTTGTTTAGCTTCTATATGACGTGGGACACAGTTGTGGGATTCATTTTTTTTTTACTACCGGTTCTGTGGGTGTGGCTTGGTGGGCATGGCAGAGGAAGGATACTGTAAAATCTCCAGTCAGAGGTGGTATTTGCCAGTTCTCTGAACTACTCAAAATTTCTGCTACGGTTCTCCAGAACTGGTCAGAACCTGCTGAATACCACCTCTGATGGGACCCTCGGAACATGTGACTCTTGTTTCCTCACTATGCAGGCTGCAGCTGACATCCAATTCAATTTGCCTCCTTTCCATTGATTGATTTTGGAAAAGCAAGAGATTAGGAACAAGAATTGTTTGCAAGCAGGTGATGGTGAATAAAATGAAGAGTAGATGTTCAATTATTGCTGGCTGGAGTGATTTATTTTCCAGGAGTAGGCCTATAGCCTATTTAAAATGGGATGGTAATCAGTTTAAAATAGGCACAAGAAGCATGAAGATATTTCTAGATTCAGCCTCTTTTTATTTGTTTGAGTGGTAATGGCGATTATGCTGAAGTCTGCTATGCTTATATAAAATCATTTCTGATATTTTCTCCAGCTCTTTCAGCAGAGGTCCCTAGGGCACAAGAAGGGCAAAAGGAGATAACTCCTTTTCTGACAGTCAATCAAAAGGTGGAAGCTGCTGCAGAACAAGAAGCTCATTTGCAAATGAGGTTGGTTTCAGGGAACTGCATCTTCATCTAAGACCACCGACAGTAATTCCTAATAGTAATGCCTTGGCAATAGAGCAGGGGTATCAAACTGGCAGCCCGTGGGCTGGATGCCTCACACACAAGTCATGCCCATCCCAGCTCCGCAAAGGGAAAAAAATGTCACAATTTGTCACATGACAGAAACGTGACAGCGTGAGTTTGACATCCGTGCAATAGAGGAACAGTCCAACTTCAGAGGTTATGGATTGTCTTAGAGGTTGGCGGAAGAAGCTGGAAAGCCACTTCTCATGAATGTTCTTCTCAATGTCCTTCATTGTTGGATGCTTTTGTTGTAAAGAGTCTTTGTAGCTTTGTTTATTTGTTTGTTTGTTTATATGACTGACCATCTCACAATAACATCCCTGAGTGTCTAACTAAAAACCCAGTACAAAAAGAAAGATCAACACATGTTAGGATAAAAGCCTATCAGAGCAGCTGAAGGCAAACACAATCCATAATAAAATAACAGCAACTCGCAGGCTCCAACTCACCGGTTGACCTCACTGTCACCTTTAAAGGAGCCATGGGTCCAGGGGATTCCCTACACTGTGCACCAGTTCTGTTTGAGGTGGCACCACAGTACTGGTATTCAAGTTTGTTTACTGCCGGTTGTGTGGGCATGGCTTGGTGGGCATGGTGTGGTGTAGCTTGCTGGATGTGGTGTGGCTTGGTGGGCATGGCTTTGTAGGTGTGGCAGGCGGAAGGAGACTGCAAAATCTCCATTTCCACCTCACTCCAGGGGAAGGATACTGTAAAATCCCCATTCCCTCCCCACCCCACTAACCTGCTTTCCAGCTCCGTTCTTCAGTGCAGGGCAACAAAAGAAGACCCAGACAATCAGCTGGGAGTCAGGAAGCAGAGAATAGATGGGGGCGGAGCCAGTCAGGGGTGGTATTTCCGGTTCTCCAAACTACTCAACATTTTCGCTACTGGTTCTCCAGAACCTGTCAGAACTGGCTGAATACCACCTCTGCACCACCCTATCCAAAATTAAAAATGTTAACTTTTAATAAATCCTTTGAAGTTTTGGGAGCGTGGCTTGAGGCTCATGATTTAACTGGAGTAACTGCTGGAATCCTGACAGGAGGATCACTAAATCTAGAAGGCTCTAAAGCCACTCAGTCTTGCTAGAATTGATCTGCAGTCTATTTAGTCAACACTTTTTTTGTTATTATTGGGTAAATTAAGAAAACCACTTCACTTATGTTTACCCAGAAAGACAGAATATACATGAGAGCAAGAAAAATCATTTCTGGATATATATTTTTCCCATGGAATTTATGTTCCTGTGACTTGAGCCTTTGGAATAAATCTAAACCCATCTCCTGCAATAGATTTATTGAACACACTGTTTGCAGGGTACATCTCTCTGAAGCTCCTGCTAAGCATGCTTACAGTATTCAGTCCATGAATGACTGGGCCACAGTCATTCATTTCCCATCTGCAAGAAATGGACTTATTCCAGTAAAACAAACATTGTTGAATACAAGCAGATGTACAAGCAGAAATAAGCAACTGGTGATCTTCATCAACTGGGACTCCATTCCTGGTCCCTTAGAAGCACCCCATCTCTCCTTTTCTTGTAATTCCTTGAGAGCATTCCCCAAGATAACTTACCAATCATAATCTCCTGAGAAGAGGGGCACTCTGGGTTTCCTTTCTTTTCATCTTTGCCTAAGTGGCACTCAAAAAATCTTGCTCAAAAAGCTGCAAAAAGTAAGTACCTAAACCTTATGAACAGGCAGTGGTGGTGGAGATTTACCACCTCCAGTTCAAGAGTTCTGTGGTCTGTTGGAAACCAAGGAAACAGAAGACAACAAATATAAGGAAAAAAAGAATTCTGATGAGGCTGCCTTGGGCCACTTGTAGATTTTTAAACAGATTCTGTGCCTCACTGAATGAATGGGATTAAATATAAATAATGCACGACTTTCTGTAAAATATCCCATCTCCTTCTCCTAAAAAAAAAGATCTCTATTTTTCCAGTTCATACCGGACTTCCTTTCTTGGCTTTTCTGGCAGCTTCAACTCTTCCCTCTGGCTGGCTGCCACTTTCGAGAACCACAGTTTCCTTCCTTGTTAGTATGCTGCGACCCCCACCTCTGGTTTTATTTTACAATTATTTTCCTTCTGGCCCAGACAAAATAAAAAAACCCTTCTTCCTTCTTGCCTTCATATGTAAACACATGGGACCCAATGTTTTGTCCCAAATCCAATAAATGCATAAGGCAAGTCAATGTAGATATAGAGTAATAACTTTATTAATCTAAAAAGTGACAATCACCCCAAATAGTTATTGGAAACTATTGGAAACTAGCAGTATTAACTAAACATCTTTACAGAAAAAAACAACAGTTAAAATAATAACAGAATATTAGCATTGGAAAGGATTTTTGGAGTTCTTCTCTGGTCCAACCCTCTGCTCAATCAGAAGACCCTACACCGTTCTGGACAACTGGTATGAAATATGTTTTCTTCTTGAAAACATCTAGTGTTGAAACATCAACTTCTGGAAGCACATTGTTCCACTGACTAATTGTTCTCACTGTCAGGGTGAAGCTCTCTTTGATAAGTTTCCGTCTGTTACTTCTTGTCCTGTTCTCAGCAACTTTGGAGAATAGGATCACTTCTCTTTTCTGTGACAGCCCCTTAAATATTAGAAGACTGCTGTCATGTCATCCCTAGTCTTTCTGTATTCTTACCCAGGCTTCATTCAAATTAAGAAAACACATGCCATATGTAAAAGCAAACCTTTTTCAATATGATGCTGGGAATTATTTGCATTCCCAGCCAAAACTCATTAAACTCAATTGTCTGAGGTAAGAGCATGCCTTTCAGGATTGTAAAAGGCTGCCAAGAAACAGATGTTCACTTAATTAGCAGATATACCAACAGAATTTCCAGCAAAGACAAACCAGAGTCCGCAGGGCTGCAATGAGGAATCAGAATCTAATGAACTTCTTTGTTTCCTGTAAAGAGCACATCGCCGAGGACAGCTTTTAGCCCTTATGGGAGGGGCGATCACCTCCCAGCCATACTCCCAAGTCACCCCTGCTGCTTCAGCTGCTCTCTCCTTCTAGCACATGTGCACTGGGAACAGGCTCCCTGGGTCCTCTGTTTCGCTGCTGCCAGATTCCAATGGCTCCAAAGGTAGCACCCACTCTCAGATAGTCCTGGCCCCATCCCTGCATCAGATGCAGGACCCTCATCCAAGTCCTCGCCAGACTCCTTGACTGGTTCCCTTTCGTCCTCATTGTCCGATACCTCTGCCGTCTGCACCGGCTGTCGGCGAACCACAACATTCTGTTTGCTGGGCTAGACATACACCCAGTTCCTGCAACCTTTCTTCATATGTTTTAGCCTCCAGTCTGCTAATCATCTTTGTTGCTCATCTAGAGTCCTCACATTTTTTTGTATCTTGGTAACCAAAACTGGATGCAATATTCCAAGTGTGGCCTCACTAGTGCAGTATAAAGCAATACTAACACTTCATGTGATCTTGGTTCTATCCCTCTGTTGATGCAACTAGGACTACGTTGGCTTTTTTTGGTAGCTGCAACACAGGGCTGGCTCATATTTATGTGGTTAACCATTAGGATTCCTAGGTCCTTCTCACCATTACTGCTTTGAGCAAGGTATCGCCTGTTCTATATCTGTACATTTGATTTTCTTACTAACCTTTTCTCCCCATTGAATTGTATTTTGTTGGATAGGGCCCAGTGTTCAAATCTGATTAACAACGATTAAACATATGACAAAAATATGTGTTAACACACCCTCCCTTCCTCAAGTCACTTGCAAAAAATATCTTTTTTTTTTGTGGGCATTTTCCTGAATGCAAATGGGAAGAAATGTCCCTACAGAGCTACCACCGATTCTCCAAGTTATTTAATCCCCCAATTTCATTTACATTTTTATTTTGCTCATGCAGCCCTCTCATGAAAGTTACGGGTTTTTCTCCTTGAAAATGGCCAGATAAATATAGCTGGATACAAGGCCATGGAGAGTGGGAATGACCAAGGTTTATAAGTTATTTTCTCCTAGTTTCATGGGAGGGGGATTGTAGAAATATTTGTTAATG